CCTCCTGAGTGCTAGGATTACAGGTGTGCGCCACCGTGCCCAGCCTCCCATGCTATGCTTTATTGACCCTTTTGTACATTAGTTAGCACTTACAAAAAGTTAGCAGTTATGGGCCCAGGGATATAGCTCAGTGGCACAGTGCTGTTGGCAAGCACAAAGTCATGAGTTTGATTCCTAGAACCAAAAAAAAAAGCAGTTATTTTTAACTTGTTATTAACCTGTTATCTTTTCATACAAGGGCATACTACACAGGCAGTACAATGACAATGTGGGTTAAAGACGGTGTTCATGATATATTAAATGTAAATAAGGCTACATAATAGTATGATACAGGTGGATGTGGTGGTGCATGCCTGTAATCCCAGCACTTGGGAGGCTGAGGCAGGAGGATTGCTGTGAGTTCAAGGCCAACCTGAGCTACCTAGTGAGACCCCATCTCAGAAAAACAAAAATATGATACAACTTTGGTAAATACATGTAAATGTGAATATTTTTGTTTTTTAAGAGAGAGTCTTGGCCAGGATCTCCCTGGCCTCGAACTCACTGTGTAACCTAGGCTAGCCTTAAACTTACAGTGATCCTCCTTCCTCAGCCTTTTGAGTGCTGAGATTGTACATGTGTGCCACCACACCTGGCCATATGTGTGAACATTGAAAGGCTATATACACCGTGATACTGACAATGGTTATCTCTGGGTATTAGATAATGGATGATTTTAAAGTTTCTTTTGTGGCACCAGGGACATAGCTCAGTGGTGTAGCATCTGCCTGGCAAGTGTGAGGTCCTGAGTTCAATTCCTGTACCCTCACAAAAAATACATGAAGTTTCTTTTTTATTTGCTTATATTTTACAGTGAACATGTTACTTTTAGAAAAGAAAAACTTTTTAAGATCAAAGGGAGTTAAAGGTGAGCTTAAAAGGTACTTTTTTTGAAAGTTAGGTTATGTGTTTGAGCTTACTGTTTCGTTTTTTTTTTTTTAAGAGTAGGAAAATTTATTGGGGAATAGGAATGGGGACTAGGAATAGCTCCTGAGAGACAGGAGGGGTCCCAAACAGGTTGGCCCAAAGTTACTTATTAAATGTAGAAGTGAAAGGATTAAAATACAAACATCCAGCTAGCAAAACAAAGTATGATGAAAAACAAATATATCCAAACATGGTAGAAGCGTTAGATTCACTGCAGGGAGCTCTTGATTAAAGGATGCTTTGTGGATGAAGTTCTTGGTAGCCCACTGTGGCCGCTGGGGGCCTCACCTGCCCACGTCTGTTCCCGTCTGCCGGGCCCGTGCTGAGGTTCACCGCCGCATGGTGCTTCGCACAGCCTGTTTAGGTGCCGTCGTTATCTCCGTTTGATCAGATGCGGATAAGTGGTCCTGCGGGGACTGTCTGACCAGATACGCAGTGGTGACAGTCATGACTGATCCAAGTCTGACACCAGATCTGTGCTCTTCAGTCAGTAGCAATTGGAAGTTCAGTTTCTGGTTAAGTCAAGGAAGCAGGGATGTTTCGGACTGAAGGCATTTTCCCTGGCGGAGGGCCTCCATGGGCGATGAGGGGGACAGCGGGGTCGGAGGTGGGTTCATGGAGCCACTATGGGACTGTAAGTTGGCGCGCTTTCCTGAAGGTGAATGTTACAGAGCGCCTTTGCCCTCTGAGAAGCATCAGCCTGAACGTGTCATTTTACAGTGATGCGGACAGTCGAATGCACTACATAGAAACGTTCCCTAAGGGTTATTGTGCTTTGACATATAACCTCTTCCACTTAAATAGTTGTAGAGTACAAATTTGATACTTACTAAAAAAACTTGGTGTTGCTTAAATATTTACTTTTTATTACAGACTTCCTGGATAGTCTCTAACTTGAGTATTTATTAAACTTTTTTCAATTTCAGGAACATTTATCATATTTCCACTTTGTTGGACGAATAATGGGAATGGCCGTGTTTCATGGACATTACATTGATGGCGGTTTTACGTTGCCTTTTTATAAACAGTTGCTTGGAAAGTCAATCACTTTGGATGACATGGAGTTAGTTGATCCAGACCTTCACAATAGTTTGGTGTGGATACTGTATGTATTATATTGTCTTTTATCTGTTCATTATTCTGTAGTTAGAATATGCGCTTTACAAAAAATGTTTCAAAAGTGATGCATTTTACCTCAAAACTTGTAAAATATGCACAGAACATACTTAGTGTGATTATGTGTGATAGGACCATGTAAGATTTTTCCCCTTTCTACTGCTCTCCTATACACTTTGAAATTCTGAAGTTCCTTAAAGTTGCCGAGTATTTTTAAGTTTTTTGTTTGTTTGTTTGTTTTTTGTTTTTTGAGACAGGGTTTCACTCTGCAGTTCAGGCTGGCCTTGAGCTCACTTTGTAGCCCAGGCTGCTTTTGAATTCACAACAATCCTCCTGCCTCAGCCTCCCAAGTGCTGGGATTACAGGCGTGCACCAGCATGCCGGCTTTGTTTTTGTTTCTGAGACAGGGTCTCACTGTGTAGTTCAGGCTAGCCTCAAACTCACAGGGATCCTCCTGCATCAGTCTCCCGAGTTCCAGGATTACAGGTGTGCTCCCTGGCTTTGAGTATTACTTAGTTTAAAAAGGAAAAATTCTAGTACACATTGAGCAACCCTTACGTGAAATGTTTTAAACTGGAAGTGTTTCAGATTTTCTATTCTTTCAGATTTTCGAATATTTACATTGAGATTTTGAGGAATGGACCTAAGTCTAAACACAAAATTCATTTATTTCATGTACCTTCTGTATGTGTATAACCTACAGATAATTCTATAAAATATTTTTAGTATCCCTGTGTTTTGACTTCAACTTGTCACATGTGGTCAGGTGTGGAATTTTCTACTTGTGGTATCATGTTGCCCCTAAAAAAGTTTTGGATTTTCAGGTTAGGCATGCTCAACCTGTATTTCATAAAGTGCTGTGTTACAGCTGAGCATGGTGAGTTCAAGGCCAGCCTGAACTACGTAACAAGACCCTGTCTCAAAAAAAAAAGAAAAGTACTGTGTATAACACTTCTTCTTCAGTGTGATGCAGGTTTCTAACCCGTTACATGTCAGAATACCAGATTCCTGGTGCCATTGATTTTGAGGGGGAAAGGGGCACCGTACTATTGAACTACATCCCAGACAGTTTCCATTGTTTTTTGTTTTGGGACAGGAGCTTGCTAAGTTGCCAGGTAGGACTTAAACTTGCTGCCTTCCAGCCCCAGCTGGGATTTAGTGCTGGGGTTAAAGGCATGAGCCACCACATCTAGCTGTCGTTGGTTTTTAATGAAACAGTGACTCCATTTAAAGTTACTACTGGTTTGTTTAGGAAGCAGTGTTGGCAATATCACACTTACTTTTACAAAACACACAGGTTGCCTTGTCACTGTGGATACGCGAGCATTTGCTTACTCAAGGTGCTCGGGCTCCGTGGGGTCTGTCACTGAAGGCCTGTCACAGCTGAAGCTTGCGTCAGTTGTGGACCACAAAGTGTCTCTTTGATTGTGGCTCTGTCTCATTACTTGGGAAGTGAAATGTCAACCTGTGTTTATGCTGAACTCTTCGACTTTTCTGCCTAAGAAAAGGTGGAACGGTGGCATAAAAACTAGGAAGAGGAATCTGACCTGACATTTGTCATTATCAGCTAGGGGGCTGGGGATTTAGCTCAGCGGCAAAGCACCTGCCTGGCAAGTGCAAGGTCATGAATTCAATTCCTGGTACCAGAAGAAAAACAAAACAAAACAAAACAAAACAAAACAAAACCAGAATATTGTCATTATCAGCTACCTTCGCTTTGTTCGTTTCCCCAGTGAATACACTGACAGGGTCTGCATTCTAGGGTTCCCAGTTATGTGTCTTTTCTGTCTCCTGTCTAGTGAGAATGACATTACAGGTGTTTTGGACCACACCTTCTGTGTTGAACATAATGCATATGGTGAAATTATTCAGCATGAACTTAAACCAAATGGCAAAAGTATCCCTGTTACTGAAGAAAATAAAAAAGAATATGTTAGGTAAGCACTGCTATGGTCTTAAGGTTGAAAATATTGTTTAAGGTTCTAGGACAGCAGTATGAACAAATAGTTAAGTATTTAGTAGTTTTAGTTATTGCTACAAAATATGCCTCCACAGAATTTAGCGACTTATACCCACTTTTTTACTGTGTCTCACAATTTTATTTATTTATTTTTTGGTATCAGGAATCGAACTCAGGACCTTGCGCTTGCCAGGCAGGCGCTTGTGCCACTGAGCTATATCCCCGGCCCCTTACTTTTTCACAATTTTAGAGGTCAATAAATTGGGCAGAGACCACAGGACAGCATGCTGCCATTCCATAGGATTTTTTTTTTTTGTCTTTTTGAGACAGGGTCTTGCTATGCAGCTCAGGCTGGCCTTGAGCTCACTCCTCCAGAATGCTGGGATTACAGGCATGCGCCAGCATGTGGGCTAGGATGTTAGTGAGGAAGCCTCACTCATATTTGAAAGGCCTGAGCTAAATGGCTCAAAAGCCTGAGGGCTGGCTGTGGGGCTCCCCTGGGAGCTCAGTCTCACCGGCTCCTGGGTTTCCCTGTGTGCTCTCAAAGGCCCCTCCTTCCGCCCACAGCCTCACTCCCAGCAGACAGGCTCCTGGGGGCTGGCTTCCCACAGCACAGAAGCAGAAGCTGCCAGGACTTTTGAAGGTCTAGTTGTGATATGGCCAGCGTCCCGTGCCAGCTCAGGTTCAGTGACAAGGAGGGGCTGTGCCGAGGCAGGAGACGCGGGGGGTCGGAGCCGTGGGTAGTGCAGCTGCCACGGGGGTGGGGGGCGGTGCGTGAGTACTTTGTGCTCTGTCACTGGTGCTTAGCCTGTGATAGATGAGTGCATTGTGAATTTAAAGGTTAAGTTTTAAAAGTGTTCTCCAGTTTTTATAAAACTAATTGGGGGATTTTGAAGTGTTGGGTTAATATAAATTGTAAATATAAACTATGGTAATCAGATTTGGAAGTTTGAACTTTACCATATATATACTGCACTATTTTGTATCAATTAGGCATCTAAATCTTATTAGCTAAATCGTCCTAGTTTCAAAAATGAGGCCAGTTTCACATACTGTTGAAGGAAGTAAACATTGTTGTAGCTTTTTGAAAAGCAGTTCAGTAACAACTACCAAATAAACATGCACAGGACCTTCCACTGGCAGCTCTGTTTTTAGGATGCTTCTGGAGAAATGTACATGTAAGTAAAGAAATATGAATATGGATGTTCAACTAAGTGTTACTTGTTAAAAATGAACTCTCAAAATGTTTTTAGAGTAACACATTTTAACACATGCATTCAGTAGAGTATGTGAATGTTTAAAAGAAAGACTAAGGGCCGGGGATGTAGCTCAGTGACACAAGTGCCTGCCTGGCAAGCTCAAGGTCCTGAGTTTGAGTTCCTGTACAAAATAATTAATTAAAATTTAAAAATTGAAAAGAAAGAAAGACTGCATAAGCTGTAAAATCCAAAAAGTAAGTAAGTCCTAGACAAATTGTATAGGAGCAAAGTCTGTAATAGTTCTGTGGAAGATGTTCAGGAAGGCTGACTACCGAATCCAGCGTTGGCCTGGGATGGTGGAGGTGGGCCTGTGGTGTGCGTGCCCCAGTGGGCTGTCTTATCGCTGAAAACCTCCGGGGTTCGACATCACCTGCCTAGGAAGAGCAAGCGGATTGGTGGCTTGGGAGTGGGGCAGGCCGCTGGGGGAGAGAGCGGGCTTTCAGGGTTCATTCCGGCTCCATAGTCAATGTTCGATTTTTCTCCCTAGATGTAACAAGGGCGTATTAAAAATGTAAGCGCGTCTGGCGCGCTCCCCAGTCTCAGCAGCGCCACTCCAGGGTCCAGTGTGTGACTGCCCGGGTTTCTAGACGCAGCGTCCGGGCTCACGCAGGTGTAAGGTGCTGTCACCACCCTGGCCGGGGCAGCTGGGAGAGGCCGGCAGCACAGTGACCGCAGTGGTGCAGTTCTGCCGCCTCTTAAAGCCGACAGACAGCCCTGAGCGGCTCCAAAGGTAGCAAGTTAGGGGGTTTGTTTATTAAGGTGGCGGACTCTTCTTCCAAGTTCGGAAAAGGAAATACTGGTAACAAATTTGACGGATAAGTAGTTCTGGGATGCGTGAGGCAAAGGTGTCTGGGAAGAGAGGCAAATAAAAGAGCATTCCTAAAGCTCCAGGCAGAGCACAAGTTACGTAACAGATGTAGCTGCGCGTGTACTGACTGGTAAAACAGCTTCCCGAGTGTACACAGCCTCAAGGGAATCAGGAGTGTTTATTCAAAAGTGCTTTTACTTCTCTTCTCTATTTTTTTTTTTTTTTTGGTTTTTCTCCGGTACCGGGAACTGAACTCACGACCTTGCGCTTGCCAGGCAGGCGCTTTGCCGCTGAGCTAAATCCCCAGCCCCTTCTCTTCTCCTCTTGGATCTGAATATTCTCTGCCTCCCCTTCCTCTGTAGCCCTCCCCCAGATATAACTAACACACGCAGCGCATGCCAGTGCTACTTTCAAGGAGAGCCAGAGAAACGACCCTTTCTGACTGAATGGGCTCTCCTGGTTATTGGCATATGTGCTGTAAGTTTAGGACATTTCTGTCAAGGTTTTTTCTTTCGATGCTGTAGATTGGACCCAGAGCCTCACACATGCTAAGCGTGTGCTTTGCCAGTGAGCTCCATTTTGAGCCCACAGGATTTTAACCTCAGCACCTCCTAAACTCTAGACTTCCACTTCGTTCGGAGCTACTCGCATTTGAAGGGTGGTTTTATTGGTAGTGCTTTCATTGGTGGAAAGGTGCACTCTTTATGTCCATTGAGCTTCCTCGCAGCTTCGGACCTGTTTATCCTCATTAGTTTGGGTTTGTTTTTTTTTTTTTTACTTCTTTTAGAGTTTAAATTCTTGACTCTAAATGCTTGTATAGTGTGATGTTGCTACAGTAGAAATTTTAATAATTGCCACATCTGAATATATATGATCCTGTGGAAATCCTGTCCAATATTCACAGACTGTACGTGAACTGGAGATTTCTACGAGGCATTGAGGCTCAGTTCCTGGCTCTGCAGAAGGGGTTTAATGAAGTAATTCCACAGCACCTGCTGAAGACCTTTGACGAGAAGGAGTTGGAGGTCAGTGCATTTGTGCTACGCCGTCATCTAGTGCAGCAGGGGAGAGTGGGAGCTACTTTACCTGATTGGGAGGAAAGTTGTATTTCTAACGCTTTTGAAATTTTACAGCGCAGTTCCATGAGAATTCTTACTCACAGGAGAGGCATTTAGAATTTGATTGTTGGGAATTTCTGTGAGTAAGCAATTTCTCTTATATTGTGAATTTAAAAATTGTTTTTGGCTTTTTGTGACAGGGTCTCACTGTGTAGGCCAGGCTGGCCTTTGACGCACAACCCTACTGCCTTACCTTCCCACCGCGGGGTGTGCAGGAGCAGGCCACCACACCAGCCTTATTTTGAAAACTCTTGTAGTTCCTTGTTGTCCTCATTTAAACAGATTTCATGTCTTCTGTGTAAATTCTTCCAGTGTTTTTTCTGTTCCTTGATTTAGTGGTATTAATTTATTTAACCAAAACTTCAATTGGTCTCGCTGTATTGAAATTTATTTGATAAAGGCTTAGGTTCAATTGGGTTTGTTTGCACTAAGCCTTGTTAGAAAACATTTGGTAGGCAAGACCATAGAATAAGTGAAACACTCAGGGTAAACTGAACAACATCTTAGCTTCCCCCTTGGAAATATTTATAAACTAATAGGTGTACTCAACAGTTTGCAAGTTTCTGTTTCTGTTACAAATACAGGGAACTGAAACATGATTTTATTAATTTCATTGTATTTTCTAATTAAATGTGTTAACAGACATGGTAGCCAATAAATACAGAAAGGTTGGTTTGACCGGGTAGGAGCCCCCTTCCATGGGTGTGGAATTGTTGCTAGGAGGTGGTTGGGAGGAGGAGGCGGGTGTGCAGGGGTGACAGTAAAGCTGAGGCGTGGGGCCTTCTCGTTGGAGAGCGGTTTGCCTTAGAAGTGCCACGCTTCTGAAAAAAAGAATTGAAAGCATCTGTAATCCTTTTAGGCCAACCTGTTACCAGTTCAGTATGACTTAAATTCAGTGATCTCTTAGAACTCTGTATAGGGGCCGGGGATGTAGCTCAGTGGCATAAGTACCTGCCTGGCAAGCACAAGGTCCTGAGTTCGATTCCTGGTAAAATCTCAACTAGAACTCTGTATATTGGCTTTCTTGGAGATTTCATCCAGTAGGAGTAGGGTTGATTGTATAGTTTTTACTGTTGATGAAATCATGAAACTGCTTAGAAAAGTGCATAGCACGTAACGTTATACTAGATTAACAAGTAGGATAAATGAGTTACATTGTTTTATACTATACATTATCATAATTCACTGTGAAAACGTGTTAGATTAGCAGTATAAGCTCGTCTTTGACCCTGAGGAGATGTAGATGTTAATAGTGTCAAAACGATTTTGATACAGTCCGTCTCTGCCGACCTTGCCTCTGTATCCGTGTGGCATGGATTTCATGTACCCTCTTAGGGTTACCGAGCACTGCCTTAACCACGTATTCAGCACGCATCTCTGGAGTTGCCGTGCGCTGTGAGTCCCGTTAGTGGGGTGTGCGCTGCACCAGAGGGGACTTGACACGGGAGGGCTCAGTCACCCCGACTCCCTAAGCCGAGAGTGTTGAAGCCAAAACAGTACACCCCTCCAGGAAGGTATATATAAATTGTACTTACTTTTTGGGTCTCAAGTTCTATTTTTTTAAATTTTAGAATTTGTTTTGAAATTAGGAATTTTCCCAATGCTTTAGTCTCGTGGGGTCCATCTCAGTGGTGGTTCTCAGACCCTGGGAGGGGAATCCGCAGCGAGCAGATATTCTGGAAGTTTTTAGAAAACAATCCCTGTCACACATATGCACAGAATTAGTGTCTTTTGGTGGAGGAAGCTTCCCAGATGGTCTCATGGGCAGCTTTGATAAAGAATACCACATGGTGGGCCGGGGACGAGCTCCGCGGCACAGCGCCTGCGTGGCAAGCGAGAGGTCGCGAGCTCCCTGCCCAGTACCCAAAAAAAGAGAACAGGAATGCGGACCGCCCTGCACAGCTAACGGCCGCTCTGAGGAGCGCCGGCACGGCTTCGGTTGCCGCTGGCTCACCACTTGTGCAATGTGCTGCCAGCTCATCGTTTGTGGGCTCGGAAAGATAGACGTCAGCGACTGGAAAGCGAACACCCGGCTAAAACACTGCACGCCGGACAGCAGTGTCGTCAAGTGGTTCTGGAAAGCTGTGGAATTGTTTGATGAAGAGCGGCGAGCACGGTTACTGCAGTTTGTGACGGGATCATCGAGAGTGCCTCTGCAGGGCTTCAAAGCGCTACAAGGTAACGGCCCGAGGCGCGTGTTCGGGGTGCGGGTAGGTGGCGATGTTGGGGAGATGCGATACTTCACAAGCCGCGTGCTTATAAACAGATTCTCTTTGCGCTGTTTCTCACCTGTGACTCTCACGTGCTACCTCCTTCTCCTTCCTTCTCTTGTCCCCCAAGAGCCTTTCCACACGGCTCTCTGACTGCAGTGAGTGCCGCACGGCGGGGACTGTGTGTGCTGCTGCGCTTGCCTCTCACCTCTCGCTGTGTTGCTCTTAATCCCGTTGGCGCATTTCCGCTGGGAGGTCGTCTCTTCCGTGTTTCCATCTCAACCTGGCAAAGCGTTTACCCCTCGCGGCCTTCCCTCACTTTTACCCCTCGCGGCCTTCCCTCACTTTTTATCTTCCTCTCACCAGAAAGAGGCGGCATGACGTATGGAGGCCGTCTGTCTGGCCGGAGCACTTTATTACCGCATGGCCTCAGACCGTTTATTTACAACCGTGTTCCATTTTTGAGAATGGTTTTCTGTGGAAGAAGCCGCTTAATTTTTTGGAAGAGTTGTTATTATGGCTGATGGGTGACGTGCTTCCCAGGGGGGCAGTTGCTTCCTTTACCACTAAGGCTCTTCATTTTTAACGTCGCTGCTGTTGGTGCTGAGGGAGGAAACGCAAACCAAGGCTGGTACATAACATAGTTCATCAGTGCCGCAGCCGTGCACTCCGCCTGCTCCGGCAGAGCCTGCTCTCGGTTGTGCCTGCCTGCTCTGTTTGAGGAGGTAGAAGTTGTTACCCTCCGTATGTTTGTGTGGGTGTCTGTGTAAACTGAAATTTAGCCACTACTGCTAATCTTGCTCTTGGCTCAATTTGAGTCATGACCTCTAAGTTTGCATTAGGCTGTCACCTTTCTGAGTGTGTGTATTATACAGTATATTTCATCTTGGCAGATTATTTTTCTTCTCATTCTTTTGGGATATTGATCTTCTATAAAATAGAAGTTGGCACAAGGATCTCAATCCTGAACTTTCTCTTAAACTGAAATGCTGGCATATTAAAGCAGCCAGCCTTATCCAAGGTCAATTCCAGCTTTTAAAACCCGGGTTCTTGCTGAGCGTGGTGACGCACACCTGTAACCCCAGTACTTGGGAGGCTGAGGCAGGAGGATTGCTGTGTGTTTGAGGCCAGCCTTGGCTACAAAGTGAGTTCAAAGCCAGCCTGAACTGCATAATGAAACCCTGCCTCAAAAAGATAATAAATTAAGTAAGTAAGTAAATAAATCCATCCCAGATTCTTTTCTTGCTACCCTGAGGAAAAACATATGGATTGACAGCATTTCCGTATTCCTAGACCCTATGGCTTATGTACCAGTTCTACTCTGAAATTGTGGAGATGGAGCTCTGTAGGTGCAGATCTGACCCACATTTCCCTCCCATGCAGGTGCTGCAGGCCCGCGGCTGTTCACCATACACCAGATCGACGCCTGCACTAACAACCTGCCCAAAGCCCACACGTGGTAAGTGATTTCTGTAGCTGTTCCCACCATCCCATAAGTGTTAGTTCCAAATGGATTTGACTTCTCACTCTTACTTCCTTAGTAGTAAAAGGACCTTCAGGAGGAATACGCAGCTCAAAAAAGTGATATAAAATTATTTATATATTTATATTATAAATAATAAATTTGCTAGTACCTATATATTATTACTTAATATAGGTACTAACAAATAATACAAATAAATATATAGGTACTAACAGTAAGGTACTAACAAACAGCTGAAAATAACTGATGATGAAATAGCACAGAAACCATCTCCGTAGACGTCGAGGTGTTGTTTTTCAGTATTAGTGAGAATGCGCAGGACAGTGGGGCGAGGAGGCCGGCACGTGGACTCTATATATTTTATATATAATATGCATTATAATATATTATTAATATATAATAATATAATTAATAGTTTATTATAATATTACTACAATAAGTTATTATAATATATTAAGTAATAATAATAATATTTGTATTTGTTAGTACCTACATGATTATTTATATTATTATAAATAATTAATTTGTTAGTACCTATATATTATAAATAATATATAAAACTATTTATATATTTATAAAATAAGTAGGAGAATACCAGAGTGGTAACTGACTTTAGGGTTACAACCTTTTACCTTTCTGTGTGACACAAAGGACGATGTGGTTGTATTAGCTTGTACTTGGTAGGCCCGTTCGTTTTTTTGAAAACTGTGTAAAGTCTGATTTGCTTATTCACAGCTTCAATCGAATAGACATTCCGCCCTATGAAAGCTATGAAAAGCTCTATGAAAAGCTGCTAACAGCCATTGAAGAAACATGTGGATTTGCTGTGGAATGATGAATTTCAAGGACTTACCCGGACTCTATTTATACCCCTGACTGACAGCCTCCCTTCAGCAGTGACAGAGAATGCTGAAAAACAGGAAAACACCCTCTCTCCCACCTGTTTTAAAGTTTTAGGACAGTGTGAGGGGAAAGGACAATTTTGAAATTCCTTTTCAAGGAAAAAAAGTCTTTATGCTTTGCCATGAGGACACATTCAGCTGCTATTTAAAATGAATATCTTGAACCTAAAGAATGCTGACTTTTCCTGCATCTCCAGAGTTAGGCAGTATTCTACACTTAAAGACTACTACTATTTTTATAAAGGGTGATCTACTCAAACTGCTTCACAGAGTTCAAGTCTCTCACATCCAGGCAACTTCAGCAGTCGGTACAAGTCACATTTCATTTTGATTGAGTACGTGATTTTGAACAGCTCCTGTACTTGCTCTTTGTAAAAAAGAATAAAGTTATTTTGAATTATTCTAACTTTATAGACAATTGGCTAAAAGAACCATTATCTTTACAAGATGAAGCCATTTACATGTTTGTTTTTTCTATAGCAGAGCATTGTATTTTGCAGTATGTGTTTCAACTTCGCCTAAGTGGGTTGTTTTTATATTTTTTCAAGCACAACTTTCCTGGAAATACAGCTATATTATTTTGGTTATTAACTTCCTAATGCACCATTAGTGTAAACTTAGTAGTAGTTTGCTCCCCGGAAGATGTGTTCAGGGGTTCCCTGTTTTTAAGATGACTTTTTAAAAAACGTAATGTTTTTATCTTGAATCAATATGATCAGGTATTTTGGATTTACTTTTTATCTTAAATGGAAATACTGCATTTTTATAGCTTCTCGGAGCACGTGGACGGGTGGGATTTTCATTCTTTTGCTGAGTCAGCTGGTCTTTACTATATATACTGTTCCTGTAAACCAAAGTCTCTAATAAGTGCACCTAAGTTATATTTTAATTACATTAAGTTTCTATCAAGTAAACCATGCTGAAGCTTTGTTTAGTTGCTCACAATTTTAATCGGCTAAATTGTGAAAAAGGAAATTTTTGCTCTGAAGATTATTTAGCAAGCTTAGAAAAACCCTGCTTTTATCTCGCGAGATGAACTGGAGCTGGTACTGGGTGGTGGGCGGGGAGTGCGCTGAGGAGTGACTCTGCTTCCGAGATGCAACTCACTGGAAAAAGGAAGAGTTAACTTTGGGAGCAAGGGGATCCCAGCTCCTGCGGTGCGGAAGACCCCCCCCCCCCCGTCGGATTTTCCGATGTCCACGCTGAGCTTTCAGGGCGAGTGGCGCGTCGCACACTCCGGGAGGCGTGAGAGATTGGAGGGAATCACCGCGGATTTTAAAGTTCAACTATCAAAAAAAGAATGCACTATTTTTTTAAAATATTCATGTGAAATAAGAATAGCAAGTTTTGATGATTGACCTTTAAATTTTGCAGCTGAATGATCAAGTGAATAGTCTTTTGTGTTCTGTTTCAAATGATGGAGTGGGTTTTGGTCTGTGTTCTTGAAGCCAGAGTGCTCCTCAGAGGCGCCTGGGCGTGGTAGCGGTGTGCGGAGGGACGGAGGGGGGCGGGAGGAAGGTCTCGGCGTTGGGGCAGGACCGCCGTCCCCCTCCCGCTTGACCCAGAGCTGCTCCAAGTTTTTTCTGTGCATTGGAATTTTAAGGAACGTTTTGTGGGCTGAGGGTGAGGCGGGCAGGGGACCAGCTAGAATAAATGGAGACTTTATTGCTTTTAAAAAATGTTGAGAACAACTTGTGTGGTTCGCAAGTATTTTAACGTAGTTCATTTGGCCAAACGGGACCGCGGTAGCGCGCTGCTCGTAGCTGTGCCTGCGGCGGGGCGTCCGCGTGCCGGCCTCCTCGTCCCACTGTTCTGCTGCGCGTTCTCGCTCAAACGAAGACCACCGCCTCGAAGTGTACAGAGATGGTTTCTGTGCTCTTTCGTCGTCACTTACTTTCAGCTTTTTGTTAGTACCTTATTGGTGCAGATCCATGTCTTTTTTTTCAATGTTAAAGCACTGGTGCAGTTTGTAATTGTGCCTGCTCTTAAAATCTCTCAGTAAAAAGTAAGTACAAGATGAACACTTTATAGGGAAATCGTAACAGACAGGGATGCAGTAATAATGAAATGCTATTGTTTTTATGTACCATATAAAGCAGGCAAATACCATCGCTTTTTGAGTGCCTTTTACCTTTACAATAACGACTTAATGGAGCTTTAAAAGCACGAAATCGTCCTACATAACTGTATGGTATCACCAACATGATACGTCAAAGTATGATTTAGATTTCAATTTCAAAATTACATTATCCGATCACTTCCAGATAGGTGCTAAGACCCCCCAATGTCATTGAACCGTGGATTTGCACCTCGTGTTTAATGTGAATATTTATTTCCACATGTCCCTCTCAGCGGGGTTTTTCTTCCCCTTCCTCCAGTGTCCTTTCCGCCGTGTGACGTCATCTCCCGCATGGTCGCCTCTCCATCATGAGTGCTTAATTCCGGGCGTGATCGCGTAGAGCTCACACGCAGTACAGACATGAGTTTCCCTTCAGAGGGCCTTATTTTTTGGTGTAAAGAGTTTTTAAATAGTACCATGTATAGTGTACATTTGGTTTTGCACATAGTTTGTTGCCCTGAATGGGTTTTTTTAAAGTCTTTTTTTCTTTCTTGTATTTACAGTCTAGGCCACACTTTTTTTCTTTTAAATGCAATGTAATTTGCTTCTTTTTACAACACTAAATTTGCTTTCAACTTCCGGTGCATGGGGCTGGCTGCGCCGGCGAGTTAGCGGGTTCCGGCCGCCGTCACGGTTTGGTAGAGCGGCTCCTTCTGCTTCTGTCTTCAGCTGCAGCTCACAGTCAGCGGGGGCCGTGTGTGGTATTTAACACTCTTACGTTAGGGTGGTGATTGTACCAGATGCTGAGTTGTTTTATTTCTAGATGTAATTAGTTCACTTTGTGTAATATTCTTCCTTCTCTCAAACTGACTTTAAAAACAAAGTTTTATCGTTTTCATTGTATTTATTACAGAGTGTTTTAGCTTCGATGTTCTTTGTATTTTCACTGAGTTGTTACATGAGCTTTATCAATAACATCTGTATAAATAGTTTCTAAGAATTAACTATGTATGTGCCCATGCCGAAGTTGAGCAATAAAATGAATGCTGTTTGCACTGTCACAGCATCCAAATTTCTAAAGAATATGGAGTTTGTAATGAGTTATTTTGAAAAAAATAATTATGGTTGGTTCTGTAGTGAGTGTTTCAAGAATACATGCCCTCTCGAGCGGATGACTTGTCCCAGTGGCGCGTCGGAGCGCTTGGGCCCCGTCTGTCTCCAGCTCGGGCCGGACGTCCCTGCTCCTCCTGCCGCGGCAGCTTGCTAACTTGCCAGTGCCTGTTGGGAGCTGCGTAAGGAAAGACGGGCTTTCTGAAGCCGGTCTGGACTCGGTGGGCAAGAGTGACGTGGTTCCAGAACCGGTCTGTACCAGGTCTGTGGGGACGTGAGGGCAGTTACGGGAGGGGCCTCACGTTTGCCACGCCTGCCTTGGTGCCGAGCAGCGAGATCCTCGAAGTGGAAAGAAGTCAGTTGTATTTTCCCTAGAAGCTGTAGGCTTTAAGGTTTTATGATTCACAACTCTGCATCGAGAAGTCAGGACAGAGGAGGCAAGTACATAGGGTGACATTCGTAACAAACTAGATAGACCAGATTTTAAAATTGAATTTACTTTATTCAAAACGCATTTGCAGGCCAGCGATACAGCTCAGCGATACACCACCTGCCTGGCAAGTGAGGTCCTGAGTTCAAGTCCCGGCACCAAAAAAAAAAAAAAAAAGGGCATTTGCCCTAAATATGACCAATAAATAGGTTTTTCCTGTGTGAGTCTCAGTACCAGCTGCTAGAGCTTTGGATGTCTGTTAGAAAACTCGACTGCCACACTAACGCTTCTAGCCTGCATCTCAGCAAATGCCAAACCCAGTCCTGGATTCTCAAAGCGCGAGGTTGTGCGTGGCAGTCAGTCACGATGGGGTCGCGCCGCCTCGGCAAGTCTCAGACCCCAGACCTAACGATTTTGCTTTTGCTTGGGAGGCTCAAGCAGGAAGATCCCGGATTTGAGGCAGCTTGGGACGCCCCCGTCTCGGAACAGAGGGCCGCAGGGGCGGAGGGCGTGGGAGAGCAGCTGCCTGGCTCGTGCGGCGCCACGGGTTCAGTCGTCTCGCTCACACGCACGCACGCACGGCTGTGCTTCAGGAGCACAGAGAAAGGGGCCTTTGCCCTTGGCTCTTCCGTCCGCTGCCAATCCGAGATGGCAGCACTTGGGACCACAACTGTCGCTGCAGCTGCCTGTGCTTCGGGGACAGTCCGGCCTCCCCGTCCGGGCCCCCATCCCCGTCCTCCTCCCTGGGCTGCCTGCGCGCTCTCCCGCGAGCCCACAGCGGGCCGCCGCGGGGCCCTCCGC